ACCTGAGTGTTGCTTTCATCTGCTTCCCTCAGGTGATATTTACCTGGAGCTTCAGTCTCTTCCCTCTCTGTCTTTTGTCGTCTTCTCTGATTGGAGGAGGAAACATTTCACCTGACTCAATACAAACCAGCTCAGTCTCCTGTGTCTGAGGGGATGATGGATGACCTGCGATCACTGCTCAGGCCAGATCAGATGGCCTCGCGATAGAGGAGCGAGCGTCCGGCCCCCCCCCAGCTGCTGTCACCCCCCCCACGCTCTGCTGTCTGCAGGGGGTGACACCTCTAATTTAGCCTCCTGCTCTCTGGGGACGTTGAAGAACAAAAGGGCCGCGGCCCCGTCGAGATCACCCTGTTCTCTGGAGGGTTTGTCCACATCTTTTCCACAGATATCGCCTCCCCCGTATCTCCTCCAAGATTCGCTGTCAGTCCCTTCAAGAGGCCTGGGGAGAGTCCATTGTCTGAGCAAAATAGGGGGGTGATTGAGTGATTAGAGAGTAGATTAGCCTGTATCAATAGACGTGCGGCTTCCAGGAGGAAACAAACCTCAGAAAGAAGAAAGTTCCTTTATCAGACGCTTTGTGTCTCGTGGAGTTTAGATTCTCACAGTGGAAGGTAAAATAATGATTTAATCTCGTTGTATGATCCACAAACTGGACGTGACGAGAGAAAAGAGGAAGGAGTATTGTTGTATCATTAATCATTTCTCTGCCTCTCGATAATGTCCGTGCTTCCGTCCACCGTCTTCCTCCTGTAACGTGTCCGGCCTGTGACTGCAGCGGTCTTTAATCAGACCCTCAGGTACGAGCCCCTGAACATTTTCAGATGCGTCGTCTTAACGAATGACTTCATCTCTTGGCTTCCCTCGAGCGAGCGACCTTTTCTTAAGCACTACACCACAATACTTCACCGGGGCGAAGAAAGTGTCTCGGGATGAAGGAGGAGAAACTGAGTCCGGGGGAGTTTTGTGTTCTCGGAGAGCTGATACTGCTGTTCATATCTGAAGGAAGACTCCTGCATCCTTCCTTCACTTGCTTCCTTTCCTACATCCCTGGTTGTGTCCACTTGAACTAAACGTGTGCTCCTCATGCTTTCTTATTTACTGTGAACAGAAGAAGCCTCAGTTGTGAACCTCACTAATGCCCTCGGACGTTTTCGGATGCCTAACAAATGACTTCATCTCCTCGCCCCCCCAAGCTAGCGACCTTTTCCTAAGCACTACCCCACAATACTTCACCGGGGCGGAGAAGTGCCCGGGCACCGCGAGCAGAGAGTATATCTGAGGATGTATTTATCTCCCCACATCTATTTTCCCATGTGGAGACCTTGTGAGCTGTCATGGCTGCCAGCCCCCCCCCCTCCCGAAGGTAAAATAAGAGGCGACGTGTGTGTGTCATGAAGCCCCGGGAGGTGAATAATGAAAGATATTACCCATCAGGAGGGCTTCGACGCGGCGTTCAATTAGCCTTTCCCTCGTGCAAACTGATCACTTGTCATCCTCAGGACGGATGGCCAAAATTAATTTGCTGACGTCTCCCTCCCCAAATACCAGGTTCGGTTGGAAAAGTGTAAGAAATATAGCCCCCCCCCCGGTTTAGTTCAGAGGAGGCCTCCAGTCCCGGAGAGCGACGTCCTCGCCACCATCCTTCACACGTCTCCGCCTTCTCTCCGCTGAAGTTTGACTTCCATCGACTCTCGTTTCCTTTTTATTCAAAACTATTTTCACACCTTTCTTTCTTATTTCTCTTTTTTCTCATTAAAACATTCATGCAACTGTTTTAATGAGGTTTTCATTTAGTGTTGAGTCTCATAAATGCTCCATTTTTCCCAATTCTCTTTTTTTTCCAGTCTTTATTTTGGTAAATAACAGAATCAAAATACAAAATAGTTTCTTTAAATACAAAGTGCTGCTTTCTCCTGATTAAGAATCAGGATAATATAATAAACAGGAGTCATGCTGGGCTGGTGATCGGATGGTTGTCCACAAACGGTGAAGAGATGAACTAACACACACTAAAGAAGTATTTAGAATTTCATATCTCAAAATGTTTGAACCAACTGCGTTCACAGTTTCCCAGCATCAGCCTCGTCTCTGTTGTTGTCACACATTCATCTGTAGAAACTGAAACGCTGCCGTGACGTTTCTTTAAAGTAACAAACATCAGCAGAATAAATCATTTCCCTCCTGAAATTTATAATAAAAAACAAGCGTCTGGGTTCATGTGGTTTTATTGATAGTTTTGTTTTATCAGTAAAAGTGGACTCAGTGTTTTTGTTGTGGAGTTTCTCGGTCGGACACAGAGACGATCTATAGAGGTCAGACATGTTAGTTAGTGTAGGAGTCATGTGACGCTTCACAGGCTCAGTTTCCATGACTGACTGTGTTTGACGATGTTTCCTTTATATTTAAGTGATGTCATTTATTTGAGTTAAAAGTCCACGTGACGTCTTGATCGATGAGATTTATCTGTGAATCTGCTTCTCCATTAAAACGGATAAAATCCCACGAGTGTGTGGTGACCTAAAAAGCTTAATTGATGACAGTCCTAATGTAAACACTCGTCCTCTCTGCCTGGAAACATGTTGCCGCTCTCTCTCTCTCTCTCGCTCGCTCGCTCGCTAACAGGCAGTAATGGATGATCAGCTGGCCTGACAGCTGCACGGCTGCCGGCAGCTTTCACTTCACAGCAGCAGGAAGCTCGTCAAGTCGCGTTTAGCGCACCGTGGGGAACCGTCCGTGTTGCGGCGGCTCACACACACGCTGCTCTGTTTTCACTTCCTCATGACATGAGCTGAAATGAAAGAAAACACTGCAGCAGTAAAACTCTCTGGCTGAAACTCAGAGATCACCTGTTCATCAGATCAGGTTCCTGAGCTCGGACTCTTGTATGATCAGTTATCAGGTTTCATCAGTGGCTCCTGTGACGAACCGTCTCCATTTCCTCTTTTCACTAAAGAGGAAAACCCCGGGACAAGATGTAGACGCTCTGATCCGTCTGTCTCTCCCCGCACTTCCTGTCTTTCCTTTAATACCAGGTGTCGTAGGATCATTAAATCAGTAGCATTCATCCTCTGGAGAACATGAACGTCTGAATTAAACATGTTTTTACCTCCTTTATTAAACTGAAATAATATTTCATGTGTCTGCTTCCTGAGCGTCTCTCGTCGGAGACAAAGATATTTCAGAGTTTTTGTCTCATTTGTTTCGTGGCTCACCATCTCGTCCTCTGCCTGCTCTCCCCGCCCTCCGTGTCACTCTGAAGCGCTCCTTCCTGGCGTTATGTCACCGCCAATTACGCCGAATGTGCCGTCACTGGCGGCGAGGGTCACCCCGGGCCCGCTGCTCTGTCCCACCACCACCGACCGCCTTAATGAAAGCTGAGCGGTCGGGGCGGCGGAGAGCAGGCTTCTGTCCATCAGCCGGCCTGTCCGTCTCCCCCCCCCCCCCTCCCCTTCCTGTGCTGTGCGCCTCTACCTCCCGCCCGCCCCCCCACATTCACGGCTGGACTCTATTAATATCCTCTGTCGGAGTGTTAATGTTGTAGAGGTCCAGTGAAGTGACACGCGTGGCAGCACGGCTGTAATTGCTAATCAGTGGACAGTTTTATCCCCCGCCGCCTCCTCCCACTCCCCCCCCACCTCTCTCTCTCTTTCTCTTCTCTTTTTGATCCTTCTTTCTCCCATTTCTCTCTCTCTCTCTCGCTTTCTCTTTGACCTTCTTGCTCTCTCTCCCGCTCACCTAATGAATCCGGCTCAAATGAAGTGTGGGCGGGCGAGCGGGCGGTCGCTCGGCCTAAACGGTCAGTCAGCCGCAGCTGATGTGCGTAGGAGAGAGAGAGTGTGAAGCAGGGACGTTAACAGGCCTGAAGAGAGTCAGACAATTAAATAACTGCTGATTTCCCTCCATCTTTTCTGCTCTCGCCGCTTTAGAGCGAGCTCCTTTCAGCTCGGCTGCAGATTTCTGCAGTGAAAATGTTGTTCTGGGCAGAAATGAGCTCTTATTTAATCGCTCTTCTGCCTTTAAGCTCGTTATCTCCGCTCCACAGACTCTCAATGTGATTGAGCTTCAACGTGCACAAAGAGCAGAATCAAAAAATCGAGATGTTGCAAAAAAGAAAAAACAAGCCTAAATAGACATAATGAGGTGAAACAGACTCAGTGATGTTCACTGTCTTCCCTGTGTGGACTCTCACATGTTTCTGTCCAGTGACGGAGACACACAATTACATTTTAAACCACAGTGTGTTTCCAGTCTTGTGTCAACAGCTCATGAGAAACCAATCACATGCACTTCAGTGACCAGATCATCCTGCGCCGTGTGCGGCGGCACCGCCATCTCTACAGGAGCTTAATGAAACCTGAGTTCTCCTGCAGGGAGCCGCTCTCGCACAGATCCAGGTTTCTAATTGGTTTATTTTAACATGTGAAGTGATGAAACCTCCAGACATGTAGAGACACGTCCTGCTCTTCAGAGTCATTAACTGTAACTGATCATCACTTACTATCCGTTTGGTAATCTGAATGACTGTTTGTGAATGAAAGGCTGCAGTAGTCCTGACCCCACCCCATCCAAAACCCCTGCGATGACCCAGACCCTCAGGTACCAGAGACACATGACACTGAAAAGTTTCCTAAACAAAGTTCCAAAGGCATTTAAAATAAATGTTGTCCAGCTGACTCCAACCAGAGGAGTGGAGGCTGTCACATGTTACACAGTCATATGGGTTTAATACTCAGGTGTCCACATACTTTTGGCCACGCTGTTGCAAGTTTTAATGAAGAAGAGGAAGTCTCAGCTTCATCATGAATAAAAGACGCTCAACAAATGAATTTAGTCACAGTTTTCATGAACAGAATTAACACCAGGTCGCACAGTCAACAAGGTGGAGGAGATGGAGATGAAGCGGATGAGGATGATGATGATGAAGAGGATGATGAAGATGAGGATGAGTTGTGTGGCTCAGTTTGTGTTGAACATGTGCTCGTTGTGTTTCCTGTGTGCAGGGCATGCTGCTGAAGAGGAGCGGCAAATCCCTCAACAAGGAGTGGAAGAAGAAGTACGTGACGCTGTGTGACAACGGGCTGCTCACCTACCACCCCAGCCTGCATGTAAGACACACACACACACACACACACACACACACTCATTACTAACCCTCTCTGATTGCTTATTAGACTCCAGTGCTCTGCCAGTCTGCACTGACCTCCATCGATCTGCAGCTCTTCATCTTCCTCCTGTGTGTCTGTCTGTCTGTGTGTGTGTGTGTGTGTGTGTGTGTGTGTGTGTGTGTGTGTGTGTGTGTGTGTGTGTGTGTGTGTGTGTGTGAAACTTGGCCAGAACACACACACACACAATGTTGATGGCTTGTGCATTAATTAGGACTCGTCATCTGTTTGCCCACGTCGGCGTTGATGATGTGAATATCAGCTGTAATGTCTCTGCTAATTGCCCCGGCTCTCTGCCCTGTTGGCACAATATCCTGCCCTGACGCTGCTTTATTATCTCACTCACACACACACACACACACTCTCTCTCTCTCCTGCCTCTGAGTCTCTGCCTGTGTCTTCATCAGATCGATGTGACACATATTCATTTTGTGCAGTGAACAACAGGTTAGAAATTTACTTCACGTTTTTACTGAGTGTGTGTCATGTTTCCATCGGGGTCGTGAAGCTGCTCTGACCTTGTTGTTCGTGTGTTTAAAGTCATAGAGAGTAAAAAGTGTTTCCTGTGGATTTTGAGCCTTAAAATAAATAAGAGAGAGAGAGAAACATTTTCATGAGGAGTTTAGTTACTAAAAACAAACATAATTTGACAGTTTGGTGCCTAAAGGAAGGAGACGGATTAGACTGAATTAATTTAAGATAGAAATTAAATGTTGTAAATAAAATGAATTAAAATGTTCAATGAACATGGAGGAAAGATGTGCACAGCTCAGGATTTTCACAATAAAAGTTGTGTTAAATACCGAAAGTATTTATAAACTTTGGATTTGAGTTGGTTTGTTTCAGTGAAGAAAGAAAAGACATGAAGAAATATTCAGTTGTCTTTTTTGATTCATCTCACGATTGTTTCCTCTGGTAAACTCGTTTGTTTCGTCTGTAAAAGTCAGAGAGAAGTGATATTTTTTAATTTAATTAAAGTAAAATTACTTGTTTTCAGCCACAAACAGTTGAAAAGATTCACGTCAAACAACTTAAAAGTTTTTATTTTTCAGCTTGAACAGTTTAAACCCAGAGCCTCAGTGGGCGGCACGTTAAAGTCCCAGTGTCCATGTGGTCAGTGGGTTTGAGCAAGGCACTCCTGCAGCCAGGGGTTGTAGGTTTGATTCCCTGCGGAGCCGCTCATGCCTGAGACGTTTCCACACTATGAGCCGAGAAAAACACTTCACCAAACTGCACACGTCCGTCACTGATGAGAGCAGCTGATGCAGTAAATTAGTGTTAAAACTCATCACTTAACACATCAACACACACTCGAGTATAAACACACACACACACACACACACACACACACACACACAAACCCCCTCCAGCACCAAAAAGCCAGGTTTTCCTGAGCGTGTTGCATCTGCAGCTCGGGCGTCAATTAGCGTGTTTGCGGAGGCTAATCGAATGAAACTCAATCAGCGCCGCTAATTGCCCGACTATGTGCAAAGAAATCACATTAATGCCGCTAATTAAGTGGATGGCAATAGATGCCACCTAATTGGCAAGAAAAGTCTCCTCTAAAGAGACGAAGATCAGGCCAAAAAAAGGAGAGACGGTAATTAATCGCCTCTCGTGTCGGAGAGACTCTGAGTTTTAGTCCTGCAGCTCCAGGCTGAAATCACAGAGCGGCGGCTTCTGTTCCGTCTGTGTCCAGATTTCACCTGCTGCTGTTTCCACGGTGACCTCTGCTGCCCCTCCCCCACAGGGGAAAGACACTGATGAGGAGGTTCTGTGATCAGCACATTTCTAATTGACTCATCAATTAATCACCTCCTCAGTATGAAATGAAAATGTTCGTGTGTCACGAGGGAATCTCAACTCAAAGTCCACTTACTCGCTCTCAGCCGTAGCTCATGGTCATCATCACAACTCAACTAAATAAATAAATACAAATAAAAATAATTTTTACATTAAAAGTAAAATTACATAACGATTTAAATTGTGTAAAATAATGACGACACTTTAATTTTATTTAGTAGCTGAGACACAGTTTTTTAACCTCAAACTAAATCAGATCGGAACAGAAATATTTAATGACAAATAAATTAAAATAAATCATATTCTTCTTAAACAGATATAAATCAGATATAAATAATCATTTCCACACAAACATAAACAGTCATTGTTAATAAGGATGTAAGATGAGTAAAATATGTCGTGATCAGGACAAACTCTGTAGCTGAGACACATTTCATTATTTATTATTGTAATTTCTTGTTAATTATTGACCTGTATTTATTCTCTAATGTTCGTTAGCTCCAGTCAGACTCGACTGTGGAGTCCAACTCGCTGTTTCTTCTGTCCACGTTTCACTCATCAGAAATGGGATTTTCAATCGAGTTTAAATGAAGAAAATTTCCTGATATTCACACATTCTGTCCATATTAGGTATTTATATATTATACAGTATTAATATCACAGTTTAGATATTAACAGCTGTGATTAGCACCACGACACAAACCACTGCACTCTGTCTTTTCTTTAGTTGGACTCGGTGTGACGACCGTTAGCTGCAACATTTAGTCTGAAGTGAAAACACCTCCTCTGTGTCTTTTATCCATTTTTCCACCACTTGTTTCTTGATGTTTCCTGTCTGAGCTTCTTCTTCTTCTTCTCCTCCTTTATCTGCCGTCGCCTCTTTAACCATCCATCGTGTGAGACGAGCTCGCTCTTTATGGATCCTGTTTCCCTCCGTGTCAGCAGTATTCAGATCTCTGTTCATGTTGCATTTTTCACACTGACGCCGCCGGGTGTGCATCCATTTAACACACACACACACACACACACACACACACACACACATTTACCTACATGTGTGTACACTCATCTTAAACACACACAAGCAGCTATAAACACACTTCATTTTTTTGACGCTCATAAATTGATAAATGCAGATACATTTTCTCTCTCGTGTTCACACACACACACACACACACACACACACACACCACCTGCTGTCGGTGTATTTGGTCGATACACACATCCGTCCTGGACGTCGCAGCGTGGTGTGGACGATCGGGCCGATGATGAAAGCTCTCCAATGCAAATGGAGGCTCAATTACTGTGGTCAATCTGTCGGAGGTGTGTGTGTGTGTGTGTGTGTGTGTGTGGAGGGTTTACCCAGCGGGCCCCTGGCTCGAGGGCTCTCCGGTGGCTTGTTAAGACGCCGTTGAGAGCACTTGGCTTTGAATTGGCCTTTTGTCAGCTGAGCTGCCAGAGGGAGGCGGGAAACACTGAGAGCGAGAGAGAGAGAGAGAGAGTGTGTGTGTGTGTGTGTGTGTGTGTGTGTGTGTGTGTGTGTGTGTAATAAGACTGTGTATGTGTGTGTGTGTGTGCTCTTGTGGTTCTATATTTGTGAGGACCAATTAGAGGTTTGGAGCTGGAGAGTGAGGACATGTCGTCCGGTCGTCGTCTCTTTAACGTGGGTCGGAGTTCATGTGTGTTGGTGAAGGTCCCGACAGGTGAACAGGTGTTTGTTTTATTACCTTTACACTCGTTTGTACTTGTGCACCTGTGAGGACCGTCACAGACTTCATGCAGACAACTGTTAAAGGACACGATGCCTCCACCTCTTAAGTCATGTGACTCTCCAGGTCTGCAGAGTGCTGGTCCTCACAGAGATAGAAGAACCAGAACACAGAGTCCTGCAGGCGTTTTAATCCGGCCCAGCGGGTAACGTGAGCTTTGTTTCTCCTCGCCTCCTTCATGTTGAAGAGGAGGCTGACCTCCCACAATGCCCTGCTCCTCTCAGGTCACCGCCGACACTCCACCCTCCTCCGAGGGGCGGGGGGACGGGGAGGGGGTGGATTTAACAAGCGCCTCTCGTTCGTCATTAACACTTATCGGAGCAGAGTTCATCATCGCAGGTCGGGCGTGTTTTCGGGCGTGTCGGCGAACGGGCGGAGCCAATCAGTGTCCGAGTGGTCGTCCACTTCAGCGCCGCTTTGAGGGATTAGTGTGTCTTTGTTTCCTTTGTACGATTTAGGGATTTAGGAACTTTATTATCCAGAATAATCCCGTCCCACCAAAGAACGACCCCCCAACACACTTCACTTCACTTTACTCCTTTATTTCCTGTTTAATATTTATTCCGTCTTTGTTCTGCCTCGAGTTTATTTACATAAAACACGATTCCTTTCACCGACTTTTGTTAAACAGTCAAACACATTCAATAATGTTCGCAACGGTTAATTCTCTGTCTTAAATTTAGTTTCTTCTGCTCGTGGAGAAATAAATCTGATTATCTATATATATATATATAATTCTTCTTTTTATCGACTCCATGTTCTCAGGTTTAATGGATCCGGATCTGTTGGATTAATCTGAGTTTGATAATCTGCAGCTTCAGTTTCAGATTTGTCTCTGATCATCAGACATCAGGAGCTGGAGTCGTTTTTAAAAGATTTTATTTTCTAACCTTTCTGAAAGATAATCAGCTGTTCTCAGGTCAGTGCTTTAATCTGACAGCTGACTCTGAAAAGTGCTGACTCAGTTTCCCGCCTCCTCTCTCAGGACTACATGCAGAACGTCCACGGGAAGGAGATCGACCTGCTGAGGACCACGGTGAAGGTGCCGGGGAAGAGGCCGCCTCGCGCCGTGTCCACCTGCGCCGCCGTGCCGAGTCCCAAAACCAACGGCCTGACGAAGGACATGAGCAGCCTGCAGCTGGGACAGACTCCAGGTGAGACCTCGGGGGGGGGGGGGGCAGTCTCACCTGAGATCCTTTGGTCTCTGTTGATTCTGAAAAGGTTCGGATATCAAGGTCAAAACGCGACGACTGGGTTCGAATTTGTTTAATATTGGTGCTGATATTTATTTAATGATCAGCGACATAACCCAGAAACAAAATCCAGATCAATATTAAAATTGTCATTTATGTCATGTCAGTGGAACCAAATCATCACCTGTGCATTTGTTGGTTAAAAGTAAAATCAGACCAATAATATAAGTTTTCAAAAAATAAAAAAAATACCAGGAAAATGATTCTTTTGTTTTCACACAAATATTTTTATTATAACAGATAAGATACGAACACTCAGACGTTTTTTATTTTTTAATTAAAGTGCAACAAAGAGAAAAGACCTAAATCAAATGAGCATTTACTGTGACCCCACTTTGCTTTTAAATCAGCAGAATTTACAATAAAAACTTTTACCTCCAAATATCGAGAATAAACAAGAGCTCGACCACTGGAAGTTTGTACCAAGACAAACAGATAAACAGAGTGACGCTGAACACAAATAATAATGGAGAAGAAGACGGCAGCAGTTAAAGACAAAAAGAAAAAGAAGAAGTTAAAGAAAGGAAAATGTATTTTATTTTGAAATGTGTGATGTAGCTTTGTGCTGCAGAAGAAGAAGACGACGTCAGCGTCACGTTTAGTGGTTGAAGTTGCTCTTTAAAATAATAATAATAATAATAATAATAATAATAATAATAATAATAATAATAATAACTTTTCTTAACAGACACATGAAATATATAAATAAATGAAATAATGTAAAGCAGATATAAAATGATTCTGAGGTCCAGTCCCTCCCTCATCAGCTGAGGCCGAGGAAGAACCGGCGATTAGATCGTCATGACGACAAATATTTTTTAATCGCGTCACCAATCGTTTCCTGCGTTTGTTTCCGACGTCGAGGAAACTGAGAGCAGGAATTTAAAAAGCAGGAGTTCAGCCTTGAAACACAAAACGCTTCTGATCACCTGGAGAAAGACGTCGTAAAACAAAAGGTGGAGAGAGACACACACACACACACACACACACACACACACACACACACACACACACACACACACACAGGGATCCAGGAGGCCCGAGCTAATAGCATGAATATTCAGTGAGCCGTACTCCATGTACTAATTATTGTCATGAATATTAATGCAATCAGAGTCCTGGCTCCACTCAGCCAGCACCAAGAAATGAGCTGTAATGAGAGAAGGAGGGAGGGAGGGGTGAGGCAGGGGGGAGGATGATTCACCCGGCTGTTGGACCATGCAGCCTCTTACTAACTCAAGGGTTTGATTTAAGCAGCCGGCTTGTGAGAGGAGGCCTTTTATGTGTTTCTGCGTGTGTGCTGCATGACTGACGCATGCGCTGTGAGAAGAAGGAGAAGAAGAAGAAACCGCCGGATTAACATCATCTCAGATTTAAAGAGATATGACTGTAGCTGTCGTGTTCTTACAGAAGAGAGGAAGACAGGAAGTGAGGGATCAATGACAGTTGATTCTTTAAATTAAATCTGCAGTCATCAGGACTTTTATGTGAACAGTGGATCAAATGATGTGATCAGCTCGAACAGAGCTGAGGTTCTTGTTCTTTAGTTTTTAATATTATGAAGAGAAAAGTTGACTGTTTTACTTCCTGTTTACTTTTCACATTAAGATTTTACACACAGAACGTACGAGGAGCTAAAATATGATGCAGAGCTTCACTGTTAAAATAATTAAACATAAAGAAACTAACAAGCTGTTTATAAAGTGTCTTAAATGGCTACACAAGTAATAATAATAATAATATCCAATAATATAATGTGTTATTGATAATATAACTTTTATTTTCTATAATTCATATAAATAATATTTTTACTGACAAACATTTTGATTGTTGTATTTCTACCGATCTGAAAACGTGAGAACCAGCATCAGGTTCATCAGGAGGTTTTCACACACGAGCAATTTGTGTTTGTGTTTTGGTTCATAATAATAAACTTTGTAAGAAGAACAAATACAAAGACAGATGAAGGAAAACAAGTTCTGCAGGTCAGATAGTTTAAATATAAACAAATATTTACAATAAATGTGTAAAAATATTACAATAAATAGCTGTAAGAAAACCGCAGACAGTAACCCTGACTTCCTCTCTCAGGTTCGGTGACCAGCAGCTCGTCGGTGTCTCAGATGGCGAGCGGCGTCAGCCTGGTGTCCTTCAACAGCCGCGGCATGGAGGGGATGCACCAGCGCTCGTACTCCGTCTCCAGCGCCGACCAGTGGACCGACGCCACCGTCATCGCCAACTCTGGAGTCAGCACCGGTGAGTGATGACGACGCGGGCCTGAGGGTTCTGACCGTAGGGTCGTAGGTCCTCCGCTGCAGCTCAGAGGGCCTCACTGCGGAGCTGCGCATGGGAGCCTATCGTTTGTCTCCCACCTGCCAGAGCTCTAATGCTGCTGTAACTGTTAGTGAAGTGTGTGTGTGTGTGTGTGTGTGTGTGTGTGTGTGTGTAAACTTGTAAAGTGGCAGTGTTACTGAATTCAAGACTGACAGCTGTCATGGTGTGTGTGTGTGTGTGTGTGTGTGTGTGTTGCCGTGACGATAAGCTTGACTGACAGCTCTGTCGTCAGTGTTGTGCCCTCCAGCCCTCCTCAAATAACGTTTAAAGCTGTGAAATGCTTTCAGTGGACTCCCAGGGGCCACACACACACACACACACATGTTGGTCCTTCTGTAGTTGTGAGGACGTTCATGCCTGTTAACCTGAACCTGATTCTAACCTGATCCCTAAAACCATGTTTACAGTTCTTTGTGAGGACGGGTCAGAATGTCCTCACAAACACAGACAGACATGTACACACACACACACACACACACACACAGCAGCATTGTGGGGGTCCTCAGCTCCAAATAAGATCTGAACCTGAACACTGCACATCCCCTGTGCCGTCTCCACATGACATGAAGTCGTCCACAGTGAAAAATATTCTTATTTCAAACTGACATGAAAACACAACAGAATCAACAAAAGGAGCCTTAGTTTCTTACTTTGTTTTATTCTGGTCGTGTTAAACTCAGCAAACATTTCAACGACATGAATCTTTCTTCGTAAAGCTTCAAACACAGACTTCAGATCAGACCACGGTCTCCATCGTTAGGACACAGCTTCAGACATGGCCGACAGTTTTTCTCCTGTGAGGAACACAGTGTGTGGTCTTTCAGGTTTTCAAAATAAAATAAAATAAATTCCTCTGACTAAAAGCTCTGCTTCAAAGTAAGAGTCAAAAGTATAATATTTGTCTTTAAGTGTAGAAGAGTAAAAGTCTGAAGTTTCCCCTGAAAGAAAAGACAAGTTGCATTAAACCAGGATTGATCATGTATTGATTAGAGCAGGTGAAGCCGTGTGTCCTGTGCTCAGTTCAGTGCTTCAGCTGCTGGCGTCCAAACTGTTGATGAGTTCAAGAGTCGAGGGAAAACCCAGAAGAAAACAATCAGAGGGAGAGTGAAGCGGGAGGAGGTGGAGGTGGGGAGGAGGGGGGGGGGGTTGACGTGGATGGAGCGCGGCTTGCAGATGGGATGGCCGTTAATCCACGGCGGTTAATTGCGCGCTCGGGGATGGCATCTTGTCAGCAGAGATAAGTTGTCACATTTTCCACTTGAGCTGAGACTAAACGATTGTAAAATAAGTTATGGCCGTCCTTGGGGCTGTCTGCCGTTTGGGACGCGGCCGCCAACGAGCGCTTGTATATGTGTGTGTGTGTGTGTGTGTGTTTTGTGCACATGTGTTTCCATCTCCACACACACCGTGCCCATGTCAGTGTCGCCGCCGCGCTCTGATATTGATGGAAGCTGAATGTTATTTTATTCTGCCGCTAGTCACAGCTGTCAGCGGCCGCCGTGAAGAGTGGAGGGCAGAGAGAGAGAGACTCCACTCCCTCTCCTGATAGCCTCGCTCGCCCCCCCCCCCCAGACCTTGATGTAGACCAGAACAGGGCTCAGTCTCATTTAGGTTCATCAGTCCTGATCCTGAGTCTGTTAACGAAGCGACTGTTAGAGCAGAAATCACTCAGTACATGTTACATATCAAGAGGTTTCTGTCACTGATCGACCTGATTTTTGAATCAATGCATTGATTGATTATTGGATCAAAGTGACGGGACACTTGAGCAGAGCCGTGTCCGGTTGTTGAACTGTTGTATTTATTGTTTGACTTCTCAGACACGGGCCTGGGAGACTCGGTCTGCTCCAGTCCCAGTATCTCCAGCACCACCAGTCCCAAGATGGAGCCGCCGCCGTCGCCGCACGCCAACCGCAAGAAGCACCGGCGGAAGAAGAGCACCAGCAACTTCAAGGCCGACGGCCTCTCTGGTACTGCAGAAGGTAACGCCATCTCCCCTCCCCTCGCCTCACACTTTCCCCGCCCAGGTCCGACCAGTAACTCCACCCCCCCGAAACAAGTCTGACGATGCTGGAGGTGTCACAGAGGACGCCACAGTTCACCTGGAGGAACTCCTCCTGGAGGAACTCCTCCAGGTGAACAGTGCGTTGTGTAAAAATCCCAGAAGAAGAAACACGGTGCTGATGTTGTGGGACCAGGGTTGGGAAACGCAGTCATGTGATCGTCTGAGACTCCTGACCTCCGCTGAGAGGGAGGGATCTCTCCATCTTCTCATTCTGTCAGCCCCTCATCTCTTCATCGTGTTGGACTCTCTTCTTCTTCTTCTTCTCCTCCTCCTCCTCGTTCCTCTTCTTCTTCTCTGTCTCAGTGTGTTTGGGTTCGTCTGTGACGTGACTGTGTGTCTGTGGATCAGTTTGTAACATAACCTGCCATTTGGTCGACGCTTTGATCCGAGTGTTTTCCTCTGGTGCAGTTCTATAAACAGAAACCTGTGACCTGACACACAGGAAGCCTGGACTTCATCTTCATGACTGTACACACACACACACACACACACACACACACACACACACACCAGGTCCAGGTCACAGTCAGACTCTATAAACTTCTCTTCCATTGACTCGTTTAAAAACAGATTTCTTCTTCATTTCATTAGATGTCGAACTCGAGCTCTGACAAACCCTCACACACACACACACACACACACACACACACACACTGGTTCACACACACTCTCACACACACTCTCTCACACTCTGTTGATGGTTGAACAGATGTGGCAGCAGCAGCAGATGTGTAATGTTCGTCTCTCCATCACGGAGGCATCAAGCAGCTGACAAGGCAAGTGGCTGTCTGAGTGACGGATGGACGCCGCGACCGCTCTCATCTCTCCTCCTCCACTCTCGTTTTCATCTCCTCTCCTCGTCTTTTCTTTCCTTTGTTTTCTTTTTTCTATCTCTCCTCACATCTCTTTCAGCCCTTTTCTGTCTTTTCCCTCCTCTCTTCTTTGTTTTTCCTGTCCTCCATTTTCTTTCCTCTTCTTTGCATCCCTTTGTTTTTTCTCCTCCTATCACCTCCTTTCTTTTCCTTTCTCATTTTCTCCTCTTCTGTCCTCTTGGCATTTCTTTACCTTTTCCTCCTCTTTCCTTCCTCCTTTCCCTCCACTCCTCTTCTAATTCATCTTTCTCTTTTATTCTTCTAATCTCTCTTCTTTCTTTCTCCATCTTTCTGCCCTCCTCTCTTCCCTCCTTCATTCTGTTCATTTTCATTTTCTCTCCATCCTCCCAGATATTCTTTAACCCTGTCGTTGCTCCTCTTCGTCCTCTGACCGTTTTATTATCAAACACTCTGAGCGCCTCTGGTTGTCGACGCTCCGACTCCTGCGACTCGCCCTCCTATTACTCAGCCAGAGAGGCTTAAGTGAAATATTATAAATAATCCACCGTATTGAAATCTTTTATCAGCTGTGTCACTTTCATTATTCAATAAGCGATTAGTAACAGTCTTCCCAATTTAGCCATTAAGCACTGAGCGCGCTCCGCCGGCCGCCGGCTCGCCGCCTGTCACGCCGGGCGGGCGGGTGAAGTATCTTCATGTCAGAGCGAGGCCTGGCGTAATTCATGAGGGGGAACCGCCCTCTGTGGCCGAGCTCCCCCAGGTAGGACCACACACACACACACACACACACACACAGTATCAGCTGCACTGACTTCAGTCTGCCTTTTTAACCACCACACACGGTGATGTCGGCGTTTCCATCCGGATCATCAGCTGATCTTTTTACACTTTATTTAATGAGGAAGTCACATTAACATCAACATCTCATTTACAAGTGAGACCTGATCAGAAAAGTAGAATAAATTAAAATGTATATTTATAGCAAAAATACAAGTTTTCACCTTTTAAATCTACGTGTGTCCAAACAAACAAGTGAACATGTTTATATAATCAGTGCTTTATAAACCAGTCTGTGGTCCTGTTGGGATCCTCATGGTCCCAGGAAGAGTTGATGGTTTTGGGGACGTGTTTTTCATTCTGCTTGTAGATTTCAGATCAGCTGTGATTTAATACGATCTGGTCTTTACATGAGCTGTGCTGCATGCGTCACGGAGAAACGTACGTCCCGACGCCCTGACGCTCTGACGGGGAGCAAACTCAGAAAGAAGCAGCTAGAGTCACCACATTTTTCTTTTTTCGTCATCTGTCACCGCTGGAAACATTTCATAAACAAAACTAATCTCAAAGTTCATCTGAACAATAATCAGCAGATTCATCCAGCTAAAACTAATGTAGCAGCCCCTTCATGATGCTTATTATATGTCCCACTGCTTTAGACACACACACACACACACTCACACACTCACACACACACACACACACACACACACTCACACACTCACACACACACACACACACACACACACACACACACTCACACACTCACACACTCACACACACACACACACACACACACACACACACTCACACACACACACACACTCACACACTCACACACACACACAGCTTCAGATATGTGAAGTGGCCCCACACAGGTAACAGCAGGTTCACTGGTCACATTCCTGGATTTCTTTGATTCTTCGACCAGTAAACAAGGTGTGTGTGTGTGTGTGTGTGTGTGTGTGTGTGTGTGTGTGTCCTCTCAGGTTACACACAGGGTGTCTCTTCCTAACTGAGTCAGTGTGTCGATCAGCTGGATGATGCACCTGCAGCTCGGCGTCTCTGACTGGATCTTTGTGAACGTGAATTCCTTTAAAGTCGAGGTTAATCAGGACGAAGGCTGCGCTCGTCATCACAGGTCAATTTGGGTCAGCGGGGGTCAGACAGGCGGGAAACAAAGAGATCCGCTGTGCTGGAGAGTCCAGGTGGTCCAGCAGAGAGCTGACAGTCGGGACGTGTTGTGGCCTGTTTTTGGTTTTAAATTTATCATTTCAAGATGTAATTTATTCGTAGTTTGAGTTTATTGTTCTGTGTTAGTCGACGCTCCGCTGTCTGTGAGTCTTTCCTTCAGGGGTCCAACCTGTGACCTTTTGAAAGCAGCTCTGATTCATTTGTAGCTTGATAATGTTCCTGAGATCAGCTCAGACCTTCGCTCATCGCTCGCTTCGCCCTCTGTGGACGAACGAGAGCGACAAGCTGAGTAACATTTAAAGCGCCGGCCTTTCGTCTCACGCAGCCGCGACTGTGTTTCATCCTCTGTAAATGTTGCTTTGGTGGCAAATGCTCACAGTAGCCCCCGGGGGAGTAAATATCACAGAGGGTTTGCAGCAGTGTTAAGAGCATGAAAAGGACCAGAGGTCAGAGGTCACGCAGCTTGGAGCTCGACCGCTGGAGAAGGAATCGAAACTGCAAGAAATCATTGTTTTCAGTTTCCTCGTTTTTGTCTTAACGTGTAACCGTACATTCATCTGTATCAATAATCAATAATCAGGTTTGTTGTGTGATTGGATTTTTCATGCTTGAACAGATTTACAGGCTTCAACAGTTCGTTAAATCAAACTTCAGATTAATTAGCACTGGTATTTTTATTTACTAAATATTTCCAGTTGCTTCTTCTTGGCAGTTTTCTTGATCAGCGTCACTGTCGACACTTCCTGCACTGATGTTTCAGATTAAAAGCTCTCCAAATTTTAATGTGAAAATCATCCAGGAAGTGTTGAGTTTCCTCGACAGTAGCCGGGGGGTGTCCCTTCTTTCAGAGTGCAGGGTGTCGTTTGTTTTAACCACCTTGTGCCAGGTGGGACCAGAGAGTTAATGGTTTGATTGTGAATCTCAGGTTTGAACTGGTTTTTGTTTTTGGTTTCGTTCGTTATGTTGCAAACTTTCATCCCTTCATTGTGCTCATTGGCTCCTCCCACTCCCACACAAGGCCACGCCCCCTTCGAATCAGTTTTTTGACACCTTTCTCTTTGCTTTTCTGTTTTTCTCTTGTTCATGTCGTCTCATTCCTCCGCTCTATCCTTCCCTCTCCCTCTCTTCTCTCTTCCTGCCGTCGGGGGACGCAGCCAAACGTAAAGCGTGGAAACTAAATCGTGTCGGTAGTCTGCGCAGCATTTACACCAACAGTCTGCACAACTCCGAAGGTAAAACAACCTGCAGCGGCGGGGCCTGTGGCGGACAGGTGGACCACCCGCCGACCCCACCCCGGCCCCGCCCACTGCTGCAGGGATGGAGCACCCTGCTCCTGGAAATCAGTGACGTGGTGATCTGCGGGGTCTGAGGATGTCTGGGTTTAAACTGGGCTACGAGTTTTAATGGGTCGTGATATGATTAAAAAGATAATCAAGAAGAAAAGAGATAAATATGAATTTAAATATATTTTTATTTTTCCAGACTTGCCCCTAAAGTTCACCTGTTAAAGCCTTTAAAGTGTTTCAGTTAGAGCAGGTGGTGAAGGAACAACAGACCTGTAGCTTTACGTCTGTCATATTTAGTGGACGGCTCTAAATACTACATTACCCATAAGCCTCGGCTGCTGATGAAACAGACAGAGCTGCAGCAAAAGCAAAATAATTAGTTGTTTTGTTGTAAACAGGATGTGGTTTTATAGTTGCTGCATTCATCCATGTGACAGAAGTTTAAACTTGATTGGATGTTTGTTGCTGAAATGCACCTTGGGAATTGTAGTTAAGTTTTTACGTCCACCAGCTTTTGACTTTTTATCAAAGAACCAGATGTTTTCTAACTCACTCAGATGAGTCAACGAGGAGAGTTTTACGCAGATCGAAGCCAATCAGAGCTTTAATTTTCAGAACCAGGTGCGTCCGAGTAACTCCTCCCACATTTAGTCACGACCTGCTTCACTCTTGTTTAACCTGGACGTCTTTTGACCTGCGGCTCACCACATCGGTGTTTCCTGGTGCTGTCAGTGTGTGTTTGATTCACCACCTCGATGAAGAAAATGTTCATTTTCATGATGAACTGTCTCCTCCCTGCCTGAGTCACCTGACTTGTCCATCATGGTGTCTTTCCCTCCTTGCATCCTTGTGCCCCGCCCTCCTCACCTGTGAGGATACAAACAAACAAACGCACCCAGAAGCATGCGCTGTACAGGCGGTGATGTGATCGACGCATCTCTGATGTGTCTTTACTTTGATTTAACCCCATCCTTCCTGACGTGACCAGTGATGATGGAAACTACCTCAGGTGTGTCTGCATGATTGGAAACAGGTTAAATCATCTCCAGTTACTCTGCCTCTCCTCCACGCCCCTCCCTCTGCGTCTACACGCTGCACTTACATATTTCTTTTTCAGGGAGACTTCAGAACAATCGGCTGTAATATTTTCCAGGTTATTAATGTTGTAAAAGGCTGCGAATAATATGGGGAGTAATGACCTGTGTCACAAAGCAATACTGTGTGCGGTGACATTTAAGGCTTTTAATTTGTGTTTCCCGAGGCCCCCTTTTGTCTCCCTCACGCCTCCCCTCTCATTGCACCTACCGTCCTGCCTGTCACACCCACCCCCACCCCCCACCCCCACCGCTGGGGCGGTCTCGACACCTCACACCCTGGGATGATAGGCTTGTATGCATGTCCTGCCCCCCCTCCCCCCCCGCGTCTTGTAAATGCTGTATATTCGGTTTGTTCTGTTTCTGCTGTTAAAGGTTGCTGGTGTCAGAGTTCACAAATTGCCTCGGCGCCACCTCTCTCCGTGTGAATGTCGCCCACAGTTGCCGAGAGCGGTGGCAGTAATTACCAATACGGCAGGAGTGACTCGCCGTCTGTGTGTTTGTGTGTGTTTGTACTCTCATGCATACGTTTAGGAGGAGAAGGCCCGGCAGGTTCAGGTGGCTGCAAGTGTGCAGGAAATCTGAGAATCCCAGACAGAATTCATCCAAATGATCTACGATCCAGAATCTAAAAGGAAAAATCTCGTCTTTAGAAACTCTTTTTATTCTCTAATTAATCCCATAAAGTTTTATTTTCTTAAAAAATCTCAAATCAGCTTCATGAAATCCTTCGTCTTGATTCTAATGCACCAACCTGATTTTGATGATGATGCGTCGCTACTTTGTCGAGTTTTGTCGTTGCCATGGAAATATAAAAGTTAATTTTAAAATTCCCACCAAAGCTGAAAATGTTTAAGTTGCCAGTGTAAGATGCAAAAAGTGGCACAATTAAAACCAGAACAAAAAAGTCCATTTACTAGTTTGTTCTGGTGCTTTCAATTGATCACATGGTCTTCATTAATTTACTGTAACATTTATTTATTTATTTATTTATTCTACTTCCTGTCTTTGTTGGCTTTTATTGAGCTGCTGTTTCCAAGTTTAAGAATTAATAAAATATTTTTTGGCGGCAGAAAAAACAGGAAACACAACATCTGATACACCTTATAAACCTGATGTGGTGTTTGATTTATTCACCTGATCAATCAAAGTCCAATAGTTGATCTCTTTTATCTCTGTGTTTGATCTCCACCAAATATCCGTCTCTTTATCTGCTAAATGTTCAACTTTCCTCACCTGCATCTCTAACAGCAGGAGTGTTTCTCAGATCTTGTCTAACTGTTGTTTTTTAAGACATGAAATGAGCTGAACGAGGCCGAGCAGCTGCAGAGGTTTTGATATAGCATTTTTAAATAAGAAGCAGCTTCACCTGTCCTGTGCAGACAGGAGCTGAGGAGTGTAGCACAGGCTCAGGTGGGGGTTTCAGAGAAAGGCTGGGTGGTGGGAGGGGTTCTTCAGTTGCACAGCCTAATGCCCCCCTCATTTTATTCATTACCCGCCGCGGTGCGCTGGGTCAGCGTGCAGCATTTAAATCCAGAAACAGCATTTGATTTTCGCCGCGGAGAGGCAGGCCCTTTCTGGATTGTTGGTTTCCGTAATTGTCAAGCAGCCAAACACCCCTCCCCCTGAAAACAGAGAATCATGGGAATTTAATTATGATGGGATTCTTGCTCTTGACCCTGCGGGCTCAACCGGAGCTTGATGGGTGGGCCGTCGTTTAGAACGGAGATACACCCGGTGCAGACCCAGGAGCCTCCGAATACACTCTGGGAAGTGATCATTCACTCTCTGCATTATGGCGAGTTCACCCTTCATTACACACGGTTTAATACACACTTTTAATTTCTACCCTTCCCTGTGGAAGAAGGAAGACGAGATGGACGAGGTAACCCTTGAAAAACCGGCACCCAGCAGGTGCTTTGATTTGGAGACGGGTCACCTGAGGTCACCAGAGGTCACCAGTATCTTGGTTTGACGCATTACTGGCTTTTAACAGTGTCAGGAGAGAAGAGTCCAGTGACAGAGAAAGCTGAAGGTGTAGGAGTTGCTGAAGGATTGTCAGGTTTTCATATGGTCTGTTGTTTGGTCTTGAGGACAGATGTGGTCTAGACCTGATCCAGAAACATAAGTTGGACCGTAACGTTCGACCCTGATCAGATGGAAAGTTCACTGAAGTTTATTTGGAGACCAGAATCTAAAATGTCAGATAACATCAATGTAATGATGTAAACACAGAGTTTGACAGTAATCCTGCACTTAGACCCAACGACAGACAAGCTCATGTTTCTGCTGCAACAGGTCCGGCAGCTAAATCAACCTTTATTGATAATCAAACCTGATTATCAATAAAGAGCTACTGTAGAATGTATGAGTCCACAGATGCATGTTTTAATTAGTCATCAGTCTTTAACGTTATTATTCAGTGTTTATTCATGAACAAATATTGTCATTGTCTTTCATGTGACTTTAATCAGAGTGAATAAGTTTAAATGGATGTATTTGGTCATGGTGTTGATACTTGTGTTTATCTTTTATCAAGTTTTCATTGTGGGAAACAGTTTCATGTCATATCAAAACATTATTTTAGTGGATAAAAAGGATGTGAATGAATATTTCTGTCACTGTATCAGCTGCCAATTTAAAAGTCTGCTTTAACCTTGAGCCATTAACCAGCCCTTGTAAACAGTAGTTTTAATTAACATCAACTAATCAGACTCAGCCCATCAGCAGCCTGAAGCACCAGAGAGATGAAAACGATCCACCGTCATCTTCGGCAAAGGAAACTTTGGTCAGCAAAGGTGTTTTCAATCTCTTTATCCTGGAAGTGGAAGGGTTTCTCAGCCAGTCGTTTGGCCTCGGGGCTCTTCCTTCCATCCTTACCTTCCGTCCTTCCTCTCCTCGGACAAGGCCATTGATTATCCAGAGCCAAGCCAGAGGGGAACTTCAGCTCCGGTGCTCTGAGACGCTCCCAATTAGCCAAATGACTGGAGCTGAGGAAGAGCAAATGGTCGTTCCCTCGCGGGCCGGCCGTGACCGCTCTCCGACTGATTAAACCTCTCATCTTTTCACTGCTTCACTCCCGGCACACGTCATGAAACTGCTGCTTCCAGAAACGCTGGCCCAAAGTGTCATGAATGATTACCGAGCTCAGCGCTGAGAGATTCTCTTCACATGCACTTTTATACGAGTGTACACGTCGCTGATAAAGGAAACATGGTGCTTTCTTTCCTTTTTCTTAGAGACACAACCTTTCTTTGACACGTAACCTCTTCAGGTGCCTTTGTTGAGGGTCGTACCAACAGAAACTGAGGCATGCTGGGACGCGCTGGAGGCTGTGCTTTGATTAAGTGATTACCCCTGCGTCCCTCCTGCTCTCCCCCACATCTCTTACCTCCTCTCTGAGGCTAATTGTAAACAGAAGCCGCCTGTTGTCTGATCTGCGGCGGTGATGATACCGGCTCGCAGCCATGCCCCCACTTCACCTCTCCTCCCCACCCTCCCTGTGAAAGGAAACGGTTTCCAAATGTTCCTGAGTCACGCTCGAACACATCTGAACAACGTCCTGAAGAGTTTCTACATTCACATGAACAGTTAGAAAACTTCAGAGCTACGAGTTTAAAATCAGAGTTAACCCTGAAAACACAGTAAAGACTGAGCTTGTTAGTTAAAGTTAAACTAAAGTTGAACTTTTCACACTGAAAAATACATTTGTTGAGAGGTGGGTGAAAACAAAGTCAATCATTTGTCAATATCACAGTGAACTGGATGTTTGGGTTTTAGACTGAAGCTCCGAGAAAACGACCGAACAACTGATTATTGGACAGATTGATCAGTGATCATTAGTGATCATTAGCTGTGGCTCTTGTTTTAGAGACTGAACAAATGTTTGACTTCTTCACTTGATAAACAACTGAAACAGAAACTCCGTCACCAGTGGATTTATGGAGTTATTTTAGCTGCTGTTGTTTCTGTTACATCAGAATGTGAAGACTGTTCTCGTCCAATCAGAGAGAACTGGGTTTACAGGTTTAAAAATCGAAAGATTTAAGATTCTGTTTCATGTGGATGACCAAGAATCTGCACTGACGCAGGATTGTTCTGTTGTTAATGAAACATAAATATATTTAAAGGTGGTTTTTGAGTGAACTGTCCCTTTGAATGTGACACAGACTCTCAGACCTGGAGTCTCTTCTAAAGTCGTATACAAACACACACATGCTCACACACACTCGCTCTAATTGACTCCTGATTGTCCCATTAACCTCTGGGGGGGGTTCTGGGTAATAGATCCATATGTCCCCCCTCCAGCAGGCCCTGATTGTAATGACTGACCTCTCCCACTGACATGTCAGCAGAGGAGAGGGCAGGACGCTTCGCTGCTGGTGGTGGGGGGGGGGGTTAATTTGGGTGACATCCTGGCTTCAGGGGGCGGGGTCAAAGAGGTCAGCAGTGGTTGGTTCAGGAGAACAGGTGTCCCTCAGTCAGAGCGCAGACCTGGTCCAGGACTGAGAGGTCTGCAGCAGATCAGAGACTCGGCCCTTTATAAACCAACAGCAGCATCTTTAAATTAACCTGAGTAACGACCTTTCAGGTGATATGAGTCTGATTTTCTAATCGTCTTAATGTGACTGTTGGGGAAGGTGAACTCTGACCTCCAGTCGCTCTTCTCCTCCACCAAGAAGAAGGTTTTCACTCTGAGAGCAGAAGAACAGGACACAGCCACGAGCACTGAGTTTCCATATCAGCTGCTTTCTGCTTCCATTGTTACTGCAGCTGTGAAACGTACTTTGTTTTACCTCAGTCTGTTAATTATTGATGATTATTGTCATTAACAACACAGGGCAACAAATCAAATTAAAACCTGAAGCTTATAGAATGAGCCTAAACATGTTATAAATATATATAATATACTACTTCCATCAGACTCTAATGTCACTTTATATTTTCTTTGATCAGTGATTTCCACATGAAATAAAGACGAAGGTTTTTGGTTCTAGGTTCATTTGAATGTTGTTCAGACTGATGTTCTGACCGTGTCGTCACTCTGGATCAGAGCGTGAACCAAATGGCTGTCAGTGTGTGTGTGTGTGTGTGTGTGTGTGTGTGTGTGTGTGTGTGTGTGTGTGTGTGTGTTGTGACTGATGTCTTTGCGTCGATGAGTGCTCCTCCTCTAAATCTCTGTTTCCTGTCCGACAGAACAAGAGGAGAACTTTGAGTTCACCATCGTGTCGCTGACGGGGCAGACGTGGCATTTCGAGGCCACGTCATACGAGGAGCGAGACGCCTGGGTCCAGGTCATCGAGAGCCAGATCCTGGCCAGTCTGCAGTCCTGCGAGAGCAGCAAGAACAAGGTGAGCTCCTCAAACCCAACCTGAGGTTTCCTGGAGCAGCTCCAGCTTTAGAGGGAGAGTTTGAGTCAGGAGCCGTCGGCTCGTTTGAATGAGGAAATGTATGAACTGCATCACACTGGAAGTAGATATGATGATCAAACAATGACTTTACACACACACACACACACACACACACACTCACATAATTACAAAATACCAATCACTGTTCCTCACTTTCAGCCTCAGCGTTGCCATTTTCCACCTGCACATGCAGCAGGCGGCTCCGCTCTCGGTCCAGGCCCGCTGTGTTTACGCCTCAGGCTCTCAGCCTTTTACTGCCCCCCCACCCCCCCACCCCTCCTCATTCCCACCCAAAACACCAGCCCCCCCTCCCTCCCCCATTCCATTTGTTTGCTGTATTATTCCTTCATTCAGGGTTCAGCCTGAAACGGCAGCGACGTCGGTCGGACTCACGTCTGTTCACCTGCGGCAGAGAGAGTGAAGTGTGTGTTTCTCTCTGTCTGCGTGTGTTTGTTTGTTTGTTTGTTTGTTGTCCTGAAGTTGAATAAAAACAAAAATAAAATGAAAACAAGCCTGAGCTTTAACGATGTGCTCAGACTCAGGACTGTCAGGAAGAGTGTAATTCTGTTCTCTGTTTTAGTCTTAATTTTGTTTTTATTTATTTATTTTCATCCCTTTATGTGACAGAAACGCCGTCATGTCCACCGAGTGTGAGTCAGTAAACGAGGAGACGGAAACAGTGAAACCCTCATTTAACAGAGTGTGTTCAGGGTCTGAGTCTGTTTGTTTTTCCCTCCAGTCTCGTCTGACCAGCCAGACGGAGGCGATGGCTCTGCAGTCCATCAGGGGTATCCGTGGAAACGGCCACTGCGCCGACTGTGAAGCTCAGAGTGAGTACCAGCTGTTTCCTCCGTCACGAAACACAGCGTCAGTCAACATTGACAACAACTCAAGGTCTACTTACTAGCTTTTACCAGGGCTCCAAACCACATGGTCTTCCTCAGTGGATAGAAATAAATCACGCCTCCTGGAGAACATCAATGTAAAATGAGTGTAATTTTAACGTTTATTAGTTGGCTCTAAAACATGATGAAATCAAACCGGATGATCACAGGAAGTAGCTTTAACGCAGCGCAGCCTTTAACACGTCTGTTGTCTCCTCCAGACCCGGACTGGGCGAGTCTCAACCTCGGGGCCCTGATCTGCATCGAGTGCTCGGGCATCCACAGGAACCTGGGCACCCACCTGTCCAGGGTCCGCTCCCTGGACCTGGACGAGTGGCCGCTGGAGCTCATCAGGGTCATGTCGGCCATCGGCAACGAGCTCGCCAACAGCGTGTGGGAGGCCAACGCTCAGGGACGCCTCAAACCGGGACCAGACGCCAGCAG